AAGTTTGATCTTCATTAATACTTTAACCTTCTTTTCCACCGAATAATAAAAAGTATTTTAACATAAAGTACGTCCAGGCTTTGAGGAAGGCGAAGTCGCCGAAACGTCAGCCATCGTTCAATAACATCAAAAACGACGACAACGACAACGATAACGAAGATCTGTACCAACCTCGCGTCAGCTTAAGAAGATCAGTTCATAAGATCACATAAATAAATAGATTACTAAATATATTACGGGGTAGTTGGTATGGAACAGACTAACATGCCAAGTGTGGAGGTATCGGGAAGTTGGGAAAGACCGAAAAAAGGATGATTCCTAAAATGTTTTTCAAGTCCCGCTTCAAATCGTATCTTCCGTAAGCGGAATAAACGTCCCGCTCTTGAAATAGTTTTGTGGAGAAATGACTTTAGTCAAAGGTATTTCAATGTCAGTAAAAACTATTTTACCAGAATTTGCTAAGGAATATTTTGGAGTCGTTAGGTAGAAGAAGCCAAAACTGACAGACCAATTTTAGTGCAGAAAAATGAAACAAAATGAAAAATGGGAAAGGCATAATACTAGTGCTTTCTTAACTCTTTTATTTACTGCCTTTTTCTTCTTAATGGCAGGGTATGTTGTGAAATATAACTCGTATGAAGTGCTTTCGTTCTCCCGGGACAACGACTCACCCTCAACTAGCAAGTGCCTCACATATCTAGACGAGTAGTGGTTGTAAAGTGACAGAATCACTTGGGCGCTAATTTTTTTTTTGAACAGAACTAAGATCTGTTGTCAATTAGACGTTGATACTACATCCAGTCTTGTGTGGAAAAACGGGCACGCCCAAAATTTTGGCAAAAATTGATAACTCAACATGCTTCAACTTCGTTCCAACATAATAGTGCATGATTGGTGGATGTCGAATTCTCAATGGCAGGTTAGGAAAATAGAAAGCAAAAATAGAGTTTAAGATTCCCTCGCCGCCGCCGTACAGGCCGACAAAGAGATACGCACGTTCTTGGACAATGAGGTTTCGTTCGGCTACCCACTTCCACTCTTTTACGATTGACCACCTTTCTTATCCTTCGGTAGTTCTCCGCCTCATGACTGTCAGTATAGCCCATTTATTTGTTTTTTTCTAAGATCAGTATGGTAAAATGAAGACTGCTGTTCATAGATAATCGGAAGCGTTACCGGCTAAATGTCTCGCTTCTTCGCTTCCAACGATCCGCTCCGATTTGCTGCCCTTATCGACACGGTTTCCCTTTGAAATTCCATTGATCGAATCTGTCACGATCGAACCTGTTCCATTATTGTCATTATATAATTGCAGAAAGGTTATTTGTGAGATCTAGGTGATATGAAATTCCTGGCTGTTGATTGAGCGCTATAGGGAATACAATCATAATAATGCTGAGATATTTGCAGCCCCTTCGAAACCACGGTCACCCTTTCTGGGGATTCACGTACCCGCTACATCGCAGAGGCCTTTGCTTTGCCCTTCTTCTCTCAGCCAGTTTTTTACCCTAACAATGTCGTCAGCAATGCAATCATCCGTCAACGGGAATTATCTGATGAACACAGCTCGGCATTGAATAAACTTAAGCTGAGGCTGCAGTCCAGACCACAATGTTTTAACTTCCGTTCACTGTCTATTCTTTTTTCATGGGAGGGTTTTATGTAAAACTGTCCGATAACACCGTTAGAGTAAAAAACTGGCTGAGAGAGAGGCAAACCAGAGGCAATGGTGATTCAGTGGATAGCACGTAAGCCCTGGAAAGCGTTTGTGAAAGTTTGCCACGCGGGCCTTTTAACGTAGCCACAGGAACAATCTCAAGCTTGGATTATGACTGCTTATAGCAATAATAACATACAATATTAACAATCTGATGATATCTAGTTGAACGAATGGTCACGACAAAAACACTTGAGCGAAGCTGGAAGCAACATTGGAACACTAGAACACTATCTGGATGACTATTAGTGCTCCACATATTCCATGTTCGTGAAGGCTATACAAAACTTTTACAGAAAAGCATATGACAGCGATGCAGCGGCGTATACAAAAAGCAGAATGGAGCGGCCGATGCTGAAGAATGCCTGCTGCTAGCAACCACTTCAGTGTCCGAAATGTCGGACAGCGAAGAACAGTTGTTAAAAAGAAGTTACAAAATTGTCGTTATAAAATCCTGCTATGAAAAAAAATTGATAGGCAGTAAATAAAAGTTCAACATTTAGGAAAACCACAATAGCGCTGAGATATTTGCAAAACTCCGGACCGCAGGTGTCTACAATGAGGAACGAATGCGCCATTACCGTTTTCGAGTGCTAACGGGATAACGCGTTCACCACTACACCATACGGATCCTTCGTTGCGCCTTTCTCTTAGCTAGTTTTCTACTGATCAGTGGCATCAGCAATCACGCGACATTTAGAAAAACGCTATCTTGTAGCAAAACAGGTTAAGATGGACCTACTTTGCAAGAATAATTACACAACTTTGTAGTGAATAAAGGAAAATATACTTCTTACAGTAACCGGAGTCGAGCACTGTTCGGAGCACAAAATTACATGAGAACAGAATTTTACTTCCAATGCACTACTTGGGTGCTCATCGAAGTAAAATAACATGCTCGACTGCTCGCACTTTGTTTTAGAATTCTTCAAACACCGCAGGGTGCTGCAAAATTCTTTGTCAATGTAACCTTCCCACTAAACAAGTGCATCGATAAATATGTAAACTAAGGAAAAGGTAGCAGAAAACTTAGTTTATGATTAAAGAAGTAATTTGGAAACGGCGCATAAAGTACACAACGTACTCTAACCTCCTTAGAAATATCAAAACAACATCTGGCTTTGCCAACATCTAACCAAGCCGACAAACGGCAGGACAATGATATAGTGTATTTTCTTTCTTGATAAGCTTGCACGAGGTTGATAAATATATTTATTTTCGGCTAACGTTTCGACGTCTTCGTCTTCCTCAGAGCCGGTGATCCGAGTCGATGGTCCATGCTTGTTGTTCGCCTCGACGTTGCGTCTTCGCCTTCCTGTCGAGCCAGATCTTCCTCAGCGAGCCATCTTCGCGAATGAGACATCCTCACTCAGTGATGCCCTTTTATACACGATGCTGATGGTAGATATATAATGACAATGTCCGGTGGTAACAATTTGTATTTCTTCCGGACATGCATCATTGCGCACATCGTGCAGAGGTCGGTGTGTTATCAGCTAGCACAAAGCGTAGTAATATTTCGAAACCGACCTTCCCTAAACCTCGGTGTGACAAATCAATATGTATTCTTTCTTTTGTTAGCATCATTGTACCTCAGCATCATTGTGGTTATATCAGCATAGTTTTACTGTTTGTTTGTCTGCAAATTTTATGAAGAAGTTGGAACTATTTTCAACATGGTGTTCTCCCCAGAAGAACACGTTCACCCGCAGTATAAGTCGGTCATCTGCTGCGCATGTCACACCTACCACTGTCATTTTTAGTTCCAAACCGCTTTCTAATAATGATGACGAAATCCGAGCCTATCGACCACTGTATCATTTTTTTTTTTCGAAATTTTTAGTTTTATACAATGGATGGACTAAAAGTTAGTATTTTTGTATAAATTCTATTACCAACTACATTTTAGAACAATGGAATTGCAAACTGGTTCCTTCAAGAATACACTATGTAAAACGAATTAATCAGCTGGCAAATACTGTGTGTGCCCTCATCGGTATATTTTACTACTCCTTGTCAGCAATAAATTAGCCGCAAGTGTAGTTGTACTAGCTGTTTTTTCTAAACATTTCAGTATAAAACACAATCCTTCTCGGACTACTTTCGATACAGTACCTGTAGAGTTCGTAATCCCCAGGATAGAAAAGGTATGTCAAGAACTCTATGCGGGAAGTATACAGCCAGAACGAAATACATTGAAATCTACGTATACGATCCACTCTGCCTTCAATCCATTTAAATATACACCTTTGCAGAAGCGTAAATGACTACAATGTAATATAGGTTACCTGTCGTATATTCTGAATTCTTTATATACGAGAAGATGCCACATAATGAGAACAGAATAAATGCGAAATTATACTACACCCAGACAGATTTTCCAAATTCTTTTGATTTTGCTATAAAAGAGTTCTTTAATGAAAGCCGTAGGTAAGGAGTAGTGATGACAGGATCTTCCGGATAAAGCTATATAATACTGCATAGAGATAAATATTCTAAAGCATTTTGTTATGCAACTACAACAACAATAACGACAATGCCAATAAATAACGACGAACGGGCATCAAAACAAATGTTTTGAGCTCCGAATCACTGGCCGATTAGGCTCCATCATCAGACTTTTCGAATAGATGATATTCGCGTGGGTTTCTCGTCTACAGTGGAACCTGAAGCGCGAGATTCTGGTCGAGACGTAGGAGAGGTAAGTGAGTCCTTATACTCCACAAACGGATCACGAAAAGCTGAATCTGGAAATGTCGAACACCTTGATATCACCTTACTAGTTTTGGACAACAGAAATTTGCCTCACCCATCTGGTTTTCCTTTACGTCTTGTCGCTGGGAAAACATCGGAATGCTTCGTTCCGTCTTCTCTCGTACCTTCATTACGGGCCCAGACGTAACCTAAAAGCACTAAACTCTAATTACGAGGAAACTACAGTAAAACAATAATTTTGTTAGCACATAAATCATAGCAACAAAAAATGTGGTTACACAACAGTAAAAATGAAACACGTACAGAAAAGCAAGCTTTTACATTTGACCATTTATTGGAAATCAAAAAGGCGCGTGTGGCGTAGTGGCTGGAGGCGCCACTGCGACATACAGGTGGAATCGATCCTCGCGCCCATGGCCCACCAAGCCTTCCATCCATCCGAGGTCGGCAAATTAGTACCACACTTGTCTGGGAGAATAGCAGTACTGGCTCGATGCAGCGATAGGCCACCGCGAGTCATTGTAAAGCCAGATGTGCATTCAATCACCTCCAACGATACTTAATGAAGTTGGATGCATCGCGCACCCCTCAGGGATTGATCAACGGCGCGAGCTTTATTCCTTTTTAGCTTTTATTGGAAATCATTTATTTAATCCTCAATACTGCCGCTCACATTTTTACTAGCCGTGCTTCTGTGCCGTCCTTTAGTGAAAGCGCGCATAGTGTCGATTGCATTACTTGGTGCGACATCCTTGTAGAACATTTCAATATTAAGGCGACCTTGAACAATAAAATATGAAGAGTCGTCGTAAGTAAACAAAGCGCAGAGAGGAGAACCACGTACCTCTGGCCCTGCACGGATCATGCTTTGATAGAAAGATATCCAGAGCTTCCCACCCACCTCCAACGCGCACCATTACAGTCGAACGCAGTATGCGAACCATTCGCTTGATTTGAGTTTCACCAAACTGAAAAATTAGATATCCGAGTGAAAGATTTGCAAATTCAGTGTGTACCAGTTTCCTTGAGTAAGTGCCTCGCAGATGAAGCATAATTTTCGAAGCAGGAAAATCGTTAATAAAGAAAAGTTGAAGTAAGAAAAACAAATTGTCTAAGTTTCTCTTTTCATAAAGCATCCAAATTTAAAACATGATACCTATTCAACCCACTCACTACGAGATTCATTGATTTCAGTTCGTGTAAGTCGAAAATAGTGGTCGGTTTAAAGTTTGAAAAAACAGGTCTCAGATTACATTCAACTCAACGAATTGAAATAAGAAGAGAAAGAAAGTCCGGTCTTCGAAAATCTAACTAAAACAAGTCCGCTTATTCCAACAAAATAGAATCTTCATCATTTAGGCTAAGACAACAACAAAGCAACTCAAATGAACAGACTGGATTGCCACAACGTTCCCCAAAGTATCGCTGGTGTCGCGCTTGGGCTTGCGTTTCAAATTTTTAAAGACTGAGTTCCGACCTCAATTTCTAGAAAATTTCAACCTCAAAAAATTGCAATCCAAACAATATTTCATTAAAAAAACTATGAATACCTTGAAGTGACAGTGAAAAAATTTTCTATGAGTCTACGAAGTTCTTAATTAAACGAAGTTCCTCAAGTACTCTAGAGATCCACAAATTATCGCTAGTCAACAAAATACTAACACGGTAACGAAGGTGTTAAAAACAATAACCTCTTCAGACAATGCTCGACCTTAATGTTCTGCTCGTTGAAAACTGATTAAAAATCGACCACGGAAATAACTTCTGAAGCCTATGAAATAAACTATTGTTATAGCTGAGAGACAGGCGAAACAAAAAAACCCGCATGGTGTGGTGGTGAACGCGTTACTCCCCGGAAAGGACAATAGCGCGTTCGTTCCCCACCATAGACACCTGCGGTCCGGAGTTTTGCAAATATCTCGGCAACGTTGTGGTTGTTTTCGCTTAGTACCCTGCCCCGAAATTATAGTAGGCAGAAAATAAAAAGGTATAACATAAACTATTGTTTCCGAGCATATAATTTTCTCTACTTGTACACTTTACAGAATAAAACAAATACATCTTAATACTCTCGCATAAAGGTATCACAGCCGTTCCATGGGAGTAACCGATATGACACAACCAAAAAATTAGGGATTATCCACTCCGTTAAAAAACGAAATTAGGCATCGTCGTGATACTTTTAACACATTCGCGAAACATAGCGTTCCGCGACCCTGCATCCTAGAACGACGTCTAATTTTTAGTCTTTACGGACTTTCTAATTTCCTGACAATAAACAACAGCTTTTAGATAAACAATGGACCTGAGGGGTTGTAAACATCATGAAATTGTAGAAGACACTACACTCTATCGTTCTATGGGCATGACTGATATTCGTGTTACTATTTACTATACGTTGCTATGGTTCATCATGCAAACACGTTGTTGTTAGCATTTGGAAGGGCTTGAACAGCTCAAATAGAGTCTATTTCGGTATTTTTTTACGTGCACATTCCACACAGGAACCACGATTCATAACAGCGATTAAAATGAAATAACTGTAAATAACTAATCAAATCATCGTCAGAGAAAATGTTTGGAAAAAGCCGCAAATCATCAAATGAAGTGGATAGTTTTTCTGGTCCAACCTCATCTACAATGCTCCGCTTTCGGTTAACTATCGAACGAATATACATAGTGTAGCGAAAAGCTGTGCAATCCACTAAACTGGATATGGACACCATATGTCCAAATTGTCGCCAATGTGTTAAAAACAAAGCAAATAAATTTGTACCCGATAATGACCATCAGCGACTTTCTCTATCTTGAACTGTTGACAGCAACTACAAGCATTCTTCTGCTTGGTAATCTCCTCATTCACTTTTTCGTGTTCTGTTAACGGCTTCAGCTCACGCTAAAATTCAAGCAAATTTTGCTAACGATATCATTTTTTGTAATCTTAAACGATAGGTAAATTATTGATTAACCTGTACCAAAGGGGAAAATTCGCGTGCACTAAAACGGACTGTGAATGCCGATTGTAGACCTAGGCTGAAAAGTGACCTGCGTGAATCAGAGGGTGGATAACTTTAAATCCACTGCTTAGGGGTTTGTCATCAGTTCGCCAACTCTAAGGTGATGCAAATCCCATATTATATACAGATGAGAAAGAACGAGAAATTTTGGTCGTGAAATTCTGTACGTCATGCACCAAATTTTGCAACTCTGTGTGAATGAATCTGTTTTATGAACGGAAACTGCTTGAAGTGTTGCAGGTCACAATTACATGATTTCTTATGTATTTTAACACAATCTTTAAAGTATTAGTACGTCCGCTATTAAGACAATATCCACTCACAATTCGATCAAAACGAAGTGCGTCAATGAATTCCTTAGAGCTGATCAGGCCGTCTCCTTTATCAAAGAGATCCGCTACTTTATTCATTTCCAGACGAGATGTGGGGAATTCTGGAAAGCATGTAGGAATGAAAAGAGATTGGAACAAACGACAGTAGAAATGCTTGTCACACAGATGCAAGAAATAAACGCCAAACATTGGGTTAACCGAAAATTAATGCGAGTTTCGTTTTCTTTAACTTCAGTGTACAGCGTAATTAAATTATGTAAAAAGCAGTAAACAAAGATATAAGTTTCTGCGCTCATGCTAAAAAAGGATAAACGACAAAGCTTTCGGCGTTGATCAATCCCTATGGGATGCGTCATGCATTCGACTTCATCAAGCATTATCCTGATGTGACTGAATGCATATCTGGCCTTTACAATGACTCCTCAGTGGTCTACCGATGAATTGAGCCAGTGCTACTATCCTCCCAGACAAATCTGGTACTAATTTGCCGATCCCGGAGGGATGGAAGGTTTGGTGAGCCATGGGCGCGAAGATCGATTCCACGTGTGTATTGCAGGACTCCTCCGACCATTGCCCAGACGCGCCCTTGCGCTCATGTTAAATACCATTTTGGCGGTCAACTATCGGCTCCTCAATGCGATAGTTTAATCCATTGAGAAGCTAAAATAGTGACACTGAAGATAATCTTTTCAAATATGACTAGTGTATTTGTGAAGACTCGTGTTAAGAAGACGATAAACTGCTCGTCGTAATTCCAGATATGCACAAAGCGTAATGCTTTAATCGAGGAAACTGAAGCTCTCTTGAATACAATCAACAGTTTGCTCAATCACAGGGAAACCTGAGGATTGATTTAGCCGCACCGTAGTTTTATAAAACTCAACCGATTTGTGATCTATAAAACTATGAAAAATAGGGTATATTTTCATTGAACATCAAATATTTAAGTCCTACTCGATTACATCTTCCCATTCTCAACGACCTATTTAAAAACCATTCCACATTTTATCACAATGCTGTAGACCAACTACATAGTTCTGCGCCGAGCAATGACTTCTCTATCCAAAAACGCGTTTTCAGCCGGAAAAAATAGCACTCGTTTGAGAACCAATTCTTTCGAAATCTCGACCCATTTTTAAGGAATTGTTGTAAAAACACGAATAATTTCCTTTTAATGACATGACAACGACGAAATCAGAACAGAAAGAATATCAAAACCAAAAAAATTAACTCACTACTGGCCAGTATCCCATCTATGAATAATTCTCTTGGTACATTACCAGTATGGGTGCGATCTATACGTCGGAATAAGTCTGTTACCCTCGCCTGAATAGCAAATGTCAGCTGAAATATTGGAAACATGACCACTCTTTAAATTTGCCTAACCGATGTCGCTGTTGTCCCAAAATTCTACACGGAATCACACCATCGTCTCCTTTGTGCAAGATTCCATTACTCGCGGAAAGGAGAAAAGCCACTAAATTCCAAAACCGAAGTCCCATAACCACCGTAAACTGGGATTTATTCAATTCAGCAGTCGGCTATTGGGAAGATGCCGTTGTCGATAACATCGACGAAGAAGAATACGATCGGCTCATTCAACAACTTCACATTAGCGCTACGAAAGCGCAGAGTTCGAAAGTCACCAAGAGACGTCTCTCTCCAGAAATACTCGAGCTGATACGCCAGCGTGGAATCGCACGAGCTGCAGGCAACCGCGATCTAACGTCCGAACTTGTAAAACAGTGCAGAAAGGCGATAAAAGAAGATCTTAAAGAGGGAAGAGCAGCAGTAATGGTCGAAACCGCAGAGGCTGGGAAAAGTATTCGCAAAGCCCACCGAAGTTTCGCCAATTACAAGACCAAAATGATGGCACTCCGGCGCCCAGACGGAACAGTGACAGCATCCAGAAAGGCAATGGAGAAAATCATTCACGAGTACTACTTAGATCTCTTCGATAGCCACGTCCACCTTCCATCATATAAAATAAAGAGGATGGATATGTTGTACCACCGGTTCTCCCTTCCGAAATCCGACATGCCATTTCGTCGGTGAAAAATCGAACAGCACCAGGTCCGGACAGGATACGACCAGAACAGCTGAAGAACCCGCCAGTCCTCGTGAACACACTGGCTCGCCTGTTCACACGTTACCTGTCTGAATGCAAGGTCCCCACTCAGTGGAAGACCAGCAAGACCGTGTTACTGTTCAAGAAGGGTGACCTGCACGATATCGGCAACTATTGCCCAATCTGCTTAATGTCTGTCGTCTACAAACTTCTCGCTCGAGTCATCCTAAACAGGATTGATAGAACACTAGACGAAGGACAGCCATGTGAGCAAGCAGGGTTTCGAAAAGGATTTAGTACGATGGACCACATCCACACGGTAACAAGGCTCATTGAAGTATCGCGAGCGTATAAAAGACCGCTCTGTCTCACTTTCATCGATTTACAGAAGGCCTTTGATTCAATTGAGATGGAAGCAGTCTTGGAAGCCCTTGATAGTCAAGGAGTCCCTACTCAGTACATAAAGATTCTTCTTGAGCTGTACAAAAATTTGACAACCAAGATATCACCATTCTACAACGATGTTAACATTGACATCAAAAGAAAGGTTAGGCAAGGCGGTACCATCTCACCAAAATTGTTTACAGCCACCCTCCAGAACGTAATGCTAACATTGGAGTGGGATAATATGGGATTGAAAATCGATGGTCGGCAGTTACACTATCTTCGCTTTGCTGATAACATCGTCCTTATATCCTCAAAGATTAGCCAAGCGGAACGTATGCTTGACGACTTTGATAAAGCCTGTGGAAAGATTGGTCTTCGACTAAACCTCACAAAAACGATGTTCATGAAGAACGGATTGGTTTCGCATGCCCCATTCGCGCTCAACAGAGCGAATATCTCCGAATGCTCCAGTTATATCTATCTAGGTCCGGGAAATCAATATGATGAACGACTTAGCTCCAGAGTTGAGCAGAAGGAAACGAGCGGCTTGGGGACTTTTCAAGAGCATCGAAGATGTAGTAAAGAGGAGAAAGAACACCCGATTCCCTCAACGGTGCTTTCTGCCCTAACGTATGCGTCAGAAACCTGGTCGCTGCGTAAGCAGGATTAAAGGTCACTCAGCGTTATCGAACGCGCAGTCGAAAGAACGATGCTAGGAGCATACCGTTCCACACAAGTAAGGGATGAGATCCGAAGCTCCGATCTGCGTCAACGATCAAAAATCAAAGATGCCATTCTGTACGCCAAGCATTCGAGGATAAGGTGAGCCGGGCACATAATGCGTATGAATGACAACCGATGGACAAGAGCCGTTAGTGACTGGATTCCTCGGGATGTTAAACTTACTGCAGGAAGACCACCGATCCGATGGTTTGAGTTCTTCACAAAG